AGATATAAATATTTTATGCAAAAACTTATATACGATCGAGATTCTTCTGCAGATCGTCCAAATAGAAGACAAAAAAGTTCTTAGATAATTATTCTATTTTATCTTATTTTTTATGACTCAAATATGTACTCGAATCCGAGTTATTTTCTGAAAAATTCAGATTTCATTATCTTAAAAAGAATTTTCCGACGCCATCTATAACAATAAAAGTTCATGTCATGATCGAAGTCGATTTGGATTCTGTGGCTGGTGTAGATGGATCGTACGAGTCAACATCCTCAGAATTGACCAGATTCGATTAAAATCTATTATTTTTAACAGACTTTGCAAAAATATTCGCTCATTTGGTACAATAACCACTCATAATACAATCTTTCCAACCAACGATTAGTATGAATCATGTCGAGATAGAATTAAAGAAGTAACTAGAACACTTGTTAAAGTTATATGATTCGATCGAAAATCAAATTCAGATTTATGTTAATATATTTAATAACTACAAGTAAATTTTTATTTGCATTTATATCTAATAAGAAAAATAGTTTGCTGAATGATAGATCACAAGAAAAAATATCGCTTATGAGTATTACAACAATATTATTTAAAACTCAATTCAAGATATACTGAATGAAGAAAAATAATAATAAGTGCTTTACTTTTCTATGTCTTTTACCATTATGAAAACTTAGTCTATCAGCATAATGAGAAAACATTATAGATTAAAGACAAGTGTACCTCCTGTTTTTCTTTAATTAAATACTATTACTTTATTTATTGATATATAACAGATAGACTACAAATAATACAGCTGTTACTAGTATCAAAATATGTCCTACAAATAGTGGTCATAGTACCAATAAATATAAACCAAAGTGGTGATATCGAAAACAAAGATACTAATAAATTTGATCTAAACAAAATTATCAATTTATTTTTCTTAAAATATTTTTTAGTTTGCATATGATATTGTTTTAATAGTTATATTTGCTGATATTAAACATTCAGCAATAGAAATTGGTAGTCATCTACCTTGTTTATTTGCTAGTTTTGTATTAAATATTGAACGAAAAAGCATAAAGATTGAAAGATTAAACATAGAAAAAAAGCGACAAATACGCTCTAAACATATTTAGGAAAGTTTGTTTCTTTTTAAACTCTCAATTTAATTTTTACTTGACTTTTAACTCTGATAAAAATAATCCAAGAAAATAAATATTCAAAATCGAAGCAGCAGATACACCAAACATTTGAATTATTAACTAAACAAATAATAAATTTAATCATTAACTATGAAAATCATTCAAATACTAACATAATATAATTTGTTCATACAACTGTTTTTAGAAAATAATAAAATTTTATTTCTTTATTTATTTCTTCAATAAATACTTTTGTGCAGATTTTGTTTCTTTGACACACATATATCTTTGTGTTTGAGTTTGAATACAAGCATATTGAGCTGTACTTGAAAATATTACACCAATAAATATACTCCACATTGTATAACGAATTGATGGATCAAGACTAACACTAAAATAAATAAAACAACATTTTTAAAAATCTTCTTTTCAATTTAATGACATACACCGAAAACTGCAATCGATTATTAGCTTTCATAGTTTCATATACTTTAGATATTCCACCTGCATCAGCAATATCTTTACTTTAATTTGATAAAAAATATTTAAATAATCTTTGTTAAAAAAAGTGTATATATATATATCTATATACCAATAATAATCGATACAGTCAAATCAATAAATATAATCGATGCTTGTATGACATAAGTCCAAATAACTGCTTTCATTCCTCCTTTAAATATAAATATTTTTTTCCTATAATTGTTATTTATTAATTAAAAATTGTCTTATGATACTTGTATAAACTGTACAAATTATTTCACATAATCCAACTTGAATCCAAATATTTAATCCTGTTACTTGAGTTAAACCTAAACTTGATCCATATAAAATAACTGTCATTGAAAGGATCTTAACAAATTTAATTTATAATCATCAAAAAAAACCAAATGGAATTGTTATTTATAGAAACTAAAACTAAATTATATCTTACTAAAATATGAACTGTTAATGGAAAACGTTGTTTAAGGTACTAATAATCATGTAAGATATTATAATTTCAATAAGAAAATATTTTATGCATTCAGCATAAAGACTTGCACTATCAGTGTAATGATATTTTGGTATAAAAAAAATTCATTATTGAATATGTTTCTATAAACTGTTGAAATACTTTTTTTTTAAATAATAAAATATTTAGATAATCTTTTAAATTATAATAACATACTACAATAAGTAAGTATTAATCTATAATAAGAAAATTCAACAGGCATTCGAAGGAATGATGCAGCATATTGTAAAGTTGCTATCAAACTCATTGCTGTTGGGATCATCTAAAGAAAATATAATCAATAAATAATTCTTTCAAATTATATTAAATAACTTTCATTCGACCATCAGCAGTAAGAAATCGTTTTGATGAAATTTGTATTGATCGAATACAACCTTGATGAATTTCAGTTCCGTATGATGAAACTAATATCATTAAAATAAATTACTTGTTATTTATCTTTAAAGGAAAATTATCTAAAAGTAGAGCAATATAATTCCCTCGACTGAAAGGAGGGTGATACGAAAAAAACGAAAATGCGTTGCTTGCTTGCACGGGGTCAAAGGTCAAAGGTCAAGGGTCAAGGCTCAAAAAAACATCGAAAACTATTTTTTCGAAAAACACATTCCTCGAGGTTTTTCGATACGGGAAGCTCGAATCTAAGGTCGATTAGGTGACTATGGGGTAGGAGGTGGGTGAGAGTGGGTGAAAGGTCAAAAAAACATCGAAAATTAATTTTTCGAAAAAC